TTGTTCATGCTTCGGACCGCTCGCTTGTTTCGGAGGTTACGGTTTGGCCTCTCAACGGCCGCAAAAATTTTTTAATAGTCTTGTCCCAGTCTTCATTTTAACCTGCTAACTCCGGCCGTTCCACATTCTGATTTCTTTGGACCGTCCATTTCTTTTAAGATTGCAGTTCGGCCTTCCAGCAGCCGCAATTAATCGCAAAATATGCTTTGCAAACCATCCAGTTTGGCAAAGAATGAGAATTCATTGCTAAAATTTAAACAAATTTTTGTGGAGTGGTACCCAAGCAAAAATAAATAACCATCTGGGCAGTCTCCAACGAAGTAACGATAAAAAAGTCCAACGGCGGTAGGAAATAATTTAGAGATATATAACTGACAAACGAAGATTCTGCCATGGCTTCACCAGGTGTGTAGGAGTATTTGTGTAATATGTCGAAGATGCGACTTCTGCAACGACTGTCCAGACGGCATGGGAGGATCTAGGGAGGGAAAAGTGAACGATGGGTTTTCCCCTCCCCCCTCTCTCTCCGCAGTTCCAGCGGCACAAGCACCAGTGCTGGAAAAATCCAAAGTCTAAAGCGAAAACTAAAGCCTAAAGTAATCTAAGTAGCACAGTTACAATTCTATTCCTAGTTTTTGCACAGTTTTTGGGGTAGGAAGGGACTCTGCTTCCCACCCTCCCCCTTCCCTCGCCGTTCCTTCCTTCTTCCTAGAAGTCTGTGCTGGACCTCCCCATACCGGACGGTCTTGGTTTTCCTAACAATTAAAGAAATAAAAAAGTGATAATGTAGAATTTGAAAAAATCTCAGTTAAAAAAGCCACGAGATTCACCTTTTGCAGTTGCTTCTGGTTTTTCATTTTCCATGTTTTTCCTCAGCTTCTCTTTTGTACATTGTTCTTTGAAAGTTGACATAGAAAATTACCGGTTGTAAATTACCAGTTAGCCAGTTGTTCATTTCCAGAAGTTTAACATTGGCTCATTTGCGGCTTCTGATGCGCTACTATGTTGTGGATTCGGAGGATCCAAATGGTGATGTTGGAGATGTACGCATAGCAGCTACTGAAAATTCTAAATTTTCTTGTGAAACAGTACTGTTAGCTCAGAAGGTAATTTCATCTTAATTCTTCCTCAGCTTTATGAGTTTAGAGCGAAACTTCAGAAAAAAATTTTCCAAATCTCAACTTTTTGTCATTGAGAATTTTATCCTGCAGCCTTCAATCCTTGGCCCGAATTTCTCTCAGAAAATAGTTTAAAAAAATGGCTTCGGTGGATCTAAAAAATACGGAAATAGCAAGAAAGAGCAATACATCTAGTATTTCTCGCATAAAGGAAGATAGGGCAGTTGAACGTTATAGCAGTAACTGACAACTGTGAAAAAGATTGCCAAGGGCTTACGATGGACTTGCCTCATTTCAGATTTTTTTATTGGACGAACAAATCCAGCCTTCCACAGAGCCAGAAGAAAAGAAGAAACGAACTGTGGAACTTTCCGGCGATGGAGCACAGCATCGGTAATTCTCTGTCTTTTGAAACGAGGCCAATAAAGTTATACTTCCCATGTATTTCAAAGGCAGTACAACCATATTTCCGTCGTATTTTACTCTTTGAAAACTCGATATAGCAGTTTGTGGGGGACGAAAGATGATACATTCCAGTAGCAGTCAAGCTCAGGAGGTAGCCTATGCTCACTCTGAATGCGCTTTGACTCGTTAGCTTATGCTGGTCTTATTAATTATCCAGCAACTAATTATTTTGTCTTTCTAATTATCTTGGTATGCATATGTTGCTGTATCATGACTCTCTCCTCGGTAGGTCGTGTAGTGACGCTAAAGCGGCCTATATAAGGCCGCCGCTGTGTCAGTATTGTAAAGAAAAGTCGATCCAGTGTGGAATTGTGGAACTGTGGAGGCGACCCAGACGACACACGAGGGACGTGGACCCTGCTACTACCCCGAATTATTACCCAGTCGAGGAAACGCCTAGCCAGTAAACCTAACACATATAAATTTATTTACATTATTGGCTTTGATCTTCTTCTGTCTGTTTTTATAGTGCTGTTTGTATATGAATAGTTCTTTTGCTCTGTTTTTATTCATTTCGGCTTATATATATATCATATTTTAAATAATTTTGAAAAAGGGCTACTTCTATTTGCATAAAAAATCTTTA